TGGGTCCCCGTCGCTCGGCCCGGTGCCCTGGTGCCCGTCCCAGGCCAGCACCCTCCCGCTGTGGACACCGTCCCTCTCGCTGCCCCGGCCTCCTCACCCGGGTCCTCCTCACACCCCCCCCCCCCGCCTCCTCACCCCCGGGCCTCCTCACCCCTGGGCCTTTTGTGCCCCCCTCGGTCCCGTGCTCGCTCCCTCGCCCCCAGAGCCCCCAGGTGGACCCTCGCCCAGCCCCACCGCCTCCGGACCCAGCACCAAATTAGGTTTGCTCCCTCGGCCCCAATCTGGTCTTCTTTGTCGTCTGTACACCTGTCACCCCAACTCTGTTCACCCACTGCTAGGCCCCCCAATAGCATCCAAATGCAGCCCAGGCCCTCACTCCCACCCCCCTGGTGGGATCCCACCCCTCTGGGCCATTGTCCCCCACACCTGCCTGCCCAGCTCCAGCCCCCTCGGCCCCCACACCCATGCGTCTTTGTTGTCTGTAGCTGTCCCCTCGACTCTATTCTCTTTCTCCCCCAATTATGCCAAACCCCAGCCTGGCCCGTCAGCCCCCTCCCCAGCCTCGCTCTGGCTCTCCTGAGTGACAGCCGCTCTGCTCGCTCAGCGGGGCCCTCCCACCTCCCCGGGGCTCCCAGCCGGTCCAGCCTTCCCCAGCGCCCTCCTGTCCCCACCCAGTCCCCTCTCCCTGCTGGGCTCCTGCCCTGCCACCTGGCCTCAGCTGCCCCCCCCCGCGTGCCCCTCCCCCAGGCGCCCTGGAGAAGCGATGGAGCTGAGCAGCAAGAAGAAGTTGCACGCCCTGTCCCTGGCCGAGAAGATCCAGGTGCTGGAACTCCTGGACGAGTCCAAGATGTCCCAGTCGGAGGTGGCCCGGCGCTTCCAGGTGTCCCAGCCGCAGATCTCGCGCATCTGCAAGAACAAGGAGAAGCTGCTGGCCGACTGGTGCAGCGGCACAGCCCACCGGGAGCGCAAGCGCAGGCGGGAGTCCAAGTACAGCGGCATCGACGAGGCGCTGCTGTGCTGGTACCGCGCGGCGCGGGCCAGGGCCTGGGACGTGACGGGGCCCATGCTGCTGCGCAAGGCCAAGGAGCTGGCCGACATCATGGGCCAGGACTTTGTGCCCAGCGTCGGCTGGCTGGTCCGCTGGAAGCGCCGAAACAACGTGGGCTTTGGGGCGCGGCACGTCCCGGTGCCTCGGCGCCCGCCCGAGCGGCCGCCGGGCCCCGCACCCCAGGCCCAGCCACCCCTCTCCCTCAGAGACTTCTCTGCGGACGACGTTTTCGGCTGTGCTGAAGTGCCCTTGCTGTACCGGGCGGTGCCCGGCGGCAGTGTAGGCGCGAGCGACCGAGCGCGGGTGCTGCTGTGTGCCAACAGCTCGGGCACGGAGAAGCGGCGGGTGCTGGTCAGCGGGCTCCTCGCGGCCCCCGGGTGCCTCCTTGGGGTCCGCGGGGAGGCTCTGCCCGCCTCCTACCACCCTGACCCGGACACCCCCTGGGCAGACTGGCTGGCGCAGTTTGACCGGGACATGGGGCGGCAGGGCCGGCAGGTCGCCTTGCTGCTGGCCGCCCGTGTGGGGGCGGAGCTGGCAGGCCTGCCCGGGCTCTGCCACGTGAGGCTCCTGCCTCTGCCCGCCGCCAGCACCACGCCCGCCCTGCCCGGCTCCGTGGTCCGGGCCTTCAAGGCCCACTACCGGCACCGGCTGCTGGGCAAGCTGGCTGCCCTCCAGAGCGAGAGGACTGGGACCTCGCTGGCCCGGGCAGGGGCGGGCATCACGGTGCTGGACGCCCTGCACTTGGCAGCGGCGGCCTGGGCCAAGGTGCCCGCCCAGCTCATCCTCAGCAGCTTTGTTCAGGAGGGGCTGGCTCCCTGCCAGGCACCCCTGGCCCCGGGCAAGGTCACGGAGATGCCACCTGTCCCCACTGGGCTGAGCCGTGAGGAGTTTGGCCGCTTTGTGGACCTGGAGGGGGAGGCTCCCGGGCTTGCAGCGTGCAAAGAGGAGCTGGGCACGGAGGAGGAGGGGCGCGGGGAGGGCGCCTCCGAGCCCCTGCCCACCAAAGCGGACGCCCTGCTGGCCCTGGGCACACTGAGGAGGTGGTTCGAGTGCAATGGCGCCTCCGCCGAGCTCTTTGAGAAATTCTACGCCTGTGAGGAGGAGGTGGAGCGGCTGTGCGGCCTGTGAGCCCCTGCCCGCCCTTCTGTTTCCCATGGAAACGCCCTCTCCAGGGCTGCTGGGGGCCGTCTCTTTCCCGTGGAAATGGAGCTTCTATGGAAGATGCAGAAGAGACAAGCCGGAGGCCAAGCGCGAGCGCTGAGCGGAAGGGGTCCAGCCCCCCCAAAGCACGGGCGCCGGGGGAGCAGGGCTGCCTGTGGCTTCTGAACCCCTCCGGCGGCCGCGACTTGGGAAAGGGGACTTGCGTTTTACCGACAGGCCGACCCCTTGAGTTCTGTAAGAACACTTCTGCTTCTGGAAATAAAGTTTTTAAATTCCAAAAGAGCTGGGGTGTGATTGAAGAGGCCCAGGCAGGAGCTCGTGGCTCCTTTCTAAACTCCATCGCTGAGGGCCGCCCCCCTATCTGCGGACTGACCATCGCTGAGGGCCGCCCCCCTATCTGCGGACTGACCAGGATCCTCCTCTTCAGAATCCCGGCCCGGAGGTCCCCAGGGAGGGAGCCCCTCATGGGCTCCCAGATCCCGAGTGTTGCCCAGGACCTTTCTGCTGCTCTGGCCATTTCACTCTGGGACCGCAGGGTCAGGAAGAGGGGGACAGTAGGGACCTCCTTGGGAAGCAGGGAGGGCCGGAACTCAGAGGAGGTGTTCACGCAGCTCATCATTTCCTGACGGCTATATGACTCCTCTTCAGCCGGAGTGTGATGAGGTGGCAAAGATGGGGTCCCTGCCGGCGGGGCCTCGGGGACAGGGTGGAGGGTGTTTAAGGAGGTGAGAAAGGCACACACTGGCCAGTGCAGCCGGGGGGCTCCCCGAGGGGGTGTGCTGGGAGCGGCAGCTGGCAGGACAGACAGCGGCGCCCAGCCCCGGGCAGAGGCCAGCTCGAGCGTGGCAGGAGGAGGTGGGCCGATGCCCGGCGAGCGGGGTGGGGGGGGCTGGCGGCTGGGATGCTGCGTGATGGGGTTCAATCAGGTTGGGGACAGGTCATGCAGGCCTTCTAGAATACCTGAGACAGGCAGGGTGAGACCTGGCAGTGGAGAGGCTGAGTAGGCGGCTGAGGGTGAGGCCTGAGCCCCAGCCTGGGGCAGGATGAGGATGATGTCGCTTGGGGGGGACACGGCTTGGGAAGTGGACTCGGACTCCAGGCCGGAGGCCCAAGGTGGCCTTTCAAGCAGGCAGGGTGCGCGCACGCGTGTGCGTGGCTCTGTCACGGTTCTGCCCCGGGGAGCCCAGCCGTGCACCTCTGCCCTCCAGGACCGGCTCAGGCGCTGCCCGGCGCCTGCGCGGCCACCTCATCAGGGGCTGGGCCTGGACCACGTTTCCGTGCCCACCAGCATCTTTCACTTCCCATCCTTCCTGGTGCCCTCCTGTGGGAGAAGAGGTAGGAGGCTTTTCTTCAGGGTCCCTGACAGTGAGACAGATCTCAGATCCCTAAATGGGAATGTGGGGAGCCAGCACCCCTTTTTGCTCACCCTGTGGTCCCTCAGCACCTGGCAAGTGGACAGGGAGATGTGACAGACAGTCTGGGTCAGCCTCCCCTGTCCTGCCTAAGGCCCAAATCACTTAGCCTTTGCTCAGAGTCCATTTTTCTTACTCCATGCTCCTTACACTGTTACTTTTCTTGAAGTCTTTCCATTTCTGACACATCACTATTTTTTTTAAAGATTTATTTATTTATGTAGAAATGGGGTACAAGCCAGAAGTGTGGGGGGTGAGAGGCTTCACCAGAGACAGAGTGGGGAGCAGAACAGGCAGATCTACTGAAACACACTGCTGAGGGGAGCAGCGGGGAGGCAGGAGGGGTCTGCTGGGTCAGCGCTTTAACCCACGCGCCACCAGGGAGGGCCCCCCATACTTTTTAAATGCTGAAGACAAGAAGACGCCGCCATCTCCAGGGCCAGGCCCAGGTCACGGGGGGCAGGCAGCCCCACTTCCCCAAGCCTGTGAGAGCGGCTCCTACTAGTTCTGGCTCCCGCCCAGGCTGGTCTCTGTTTTGAAATCACAGCTCATCTCTTCCTCCCACGCGGGCGCTTCCCTGTTGCACACTGCCCGGGTCTATGTGGCCTCCTAGGCTCTGGACACTCTGCTCGTTGGGCCAACCCTGTTCTGGGACCTGAAGCCTGGCTGAGCTAGGCCACATCCCTCAGGGAGGGAGATACAAACTGGCCCGTGGACAAGTAAACAGCCATTTCATTGAGTCACAGGGAGGCGGGCTCTGAGCCGGCCGCAGAGGAACGGAAGTAATACTCACGTTTTAAAGCTTGCTTTAAATTTTTAATTCTAGTTGCAATATGAAGGACGTCTGGGGAGGTGTGGCGCAGAGACGGCAGCCGGAAAACCGTGTCAGGAAGCCTCATGGCTGGGCCCCGGTGTGAAGGAATAAGAAGCAGCCAGGGCCTGCTCTTCCAGCAGACCTGTGCTGTCATCAAGGTGTCCGCTCGCCTCGCCACGTGCGAAGGAAATGGGAGGACACAGCCTGTGGGAGCTTAATGTCAGCTGATTTGTGAGGCAGAAAGGAATGCCTGTGTGCCAGAGGCGTGTCAGAGTCTCCGGCAGCAGACGAGAGTGTAAGGCAGGTGGATCGGGAGGTTAAAGAAATGAGTATTTATAAGGTGTTGGCTACATGATAGGCCACACAAAGTCGCCGTCATCTTCGGTCTTGGGAAGAGGGGCCGGGGAAGGGCCCGGAGCAGACCGCCTCGGCCTGCACACGATCACGCCTGCACGGCGGCCCGAGCGACCTCTTCCCCTGCCTCTTGTTCTCGTCAGCCATGAGAATTCTCTTGGCTTCCCCCCCCCCAAAATATACATAATCATTTTTACACTGTTTCTTCTCTTTTGTTTTTTCTCTGTTAAAATATTATATACCTGATTGTTTTACGCTCTGTCTGATAAATCTAACATCCGAAATCCTTGGAGAGAGAGCTGTTGCTTTTGTTTTTGTTTCTATTCATGCTTTAACTCACAGTGTTTTGTTTTGTTTTTTTTTTTTAAGATTTATTCATTTGTTCATACAGAACTGGGGTACAGGCCAGAGAT